CAACTTTGAAGAAGCATAACTCGGAGACAAATTGTTTCCCCAAGATGATCTTGGGCTCATTTTAACCGTCAGAGAGAGGGCTATAAGTTGAACAGTTTTTTGTTCATCTGCATGCGATCGTCGCTGCTCTAAACTACAGAAATCTGATTTTTGGACTCATGGAAAATTTTTGACAGGCCATAAATTGGTCAAAAATTGACCTAACTATTAAACATAATATACCAAAAGAAAGCTCTTTAAACGACCTTTCATTTAAAAAAAAGTTCAAATCGATATCTCAAACCGTTCAAAAGTTAGAGCCAAAAAACCGTTTTTCATATAACCCCCCGCCCCCCCTCCCCAGGGGGGAATTTGGAAAAAATTCAACCATTTTTGGGTGTCCCTGACCATGCCCTTTGATACCTTAAAAGATGAGATTTCATTCTGGGCCCAGTTTCAATGGTAGATGGAACAACCTCTTTAGGAGGTACTCCCTGAAAGTGTAATATTAATGCGATTATCAGATACTCGTCTTAGGATTACTTGGACCGCGTTTAGAAGGAGGGAATTAAGCCACTTCAGCTATCGCCAAATTCAATGGGGAAATTGAATTTTTTACAAGAAAACTTTGTGCGGATTCCTTTGAAAATTTTAAGGAATTTCCTTTGTACTTGCAGAAAATTCACTGAAATTTTCACAAAAATCCGCACAACCGTTTTCATGTAAAAAATTAAATTGCCCAATTACATTTGGCAACTGCTGGCTCCTTTCTGCTTGACGCAGCTCAATTTAATTTGCATTTACACAATTCAAGAACATAGCAAAGATGTTGAAATTTCATTAAGGTTTCAGCATCGCTGTTTTGTATGTTTTTTTTTTTACATAGCTCTTATTATCCATTCATTTCTCATTGAAGCTGCAAAAAAAGTTAGCAACCACTGTGTTTTGAACCTGGATCATATGTTACCTCATTCAAGTCATAACTGGGTTCCGATTTGAAAGTAGAACGACATCGTGTCAATTTGTCTGGACCAAACATTATCTTAAGCTTGTTGCATACTTCCTGTTCCTGTTGAGGTACGTACTGTTTGATCCCTCTGGCTTGAAACAGTGCATCACTGTAAAACCTCGCAGAGGAAGAAATTTCGCCTCAGAAAACATTCAAAATCCGATGTTTTTTACTTAATATTTGTAAATTTCGGAGGTACCGGTGCACGTCTGCTCTGGCTCCTCAGTGTCTCGCAAACAAAACCTCCATACCAACCAGTCAGCAGTCGAAATATNGGGGGGGGGGGGGGGGTTGTAGAGAAGAAGAGAACAGCCAGTGAATTCCTCGAAACAATTATCTGTCAAAAGCTCATATGTATGTATACACAGAACGATTTTCCGTGACTCACTCGGTTTATTTGGCTTCCTTCATCTATCTGTTGTTCGCGCTGAGAGTCGTAAAGTCTGCGCTCTGCGATGACCAACAGTGCGTTCTGCTGAATTTGGTTTAATTGAGACGGGTTTGTCGTCTTCTAACAACCGTAGCTTTAGCTTTGTGAATTTTTTTCCTCAGAGTTGCACTTTGATAAACAACTTCACTTGTGGACTCGTGATTTTTTCTAAATGTACAGGTGTTCCCAGAGTTAAAGGGCCAAATGGACTGCATTTTACAATTAGGAAGTATAATTTCTGGCTCAATTCGGGAACAAAATAGGTGTCATTCCTTTCCTTATGCACATAAGTTTTCTCAGCTATGAGCTAAAAATTGTAGTTCCTAATTTAAAAATGAAGTCCCGATTGAAGGAGCGTGTTCTACTGCTCTTTGGGCGAATGAGACTATTTAAATCAGGAGGAACTATCCCCAAATGCTACTGGGCCCTGAGATCCATAAGAATACATCCATGACAGGGCCCATGCTCACAGACTGACAGTCCCTTTTGATCGAAATACGTCCGATCAACTCATAATCTCCTGCAATTTTTATCCCCAAAAATGCTTCCCGTCGAAACCAAGCTTCAATTGGACTTCTTTTTAGAATTAAGAACTGCTAATTTTTGGCTTAATTTCGCGGGGGTAAGCCCCTCAATCCCAAACGATACCAGACCTTAACATAGACATTTGGATAGTGGCATGGTAACCGAGGAATACTGCCGTGCTAAGGAAGAACGCCGTACGAACATTCGAGAGTTGCCAAAATTCCTTCGATAAAATGTTCATTTTTGAGAAAAGTTATGAATATTTTTCATTGAAATTTTCAGGAACTTTAGGTGGAATAACGAACAAAATTATCTGAAAAATTGGACAAAATGTTCAAAAGCCTTCTCGAAAATTCATGTTTTATCAAAAGGAATTAGGCAACGCCTGGAGGTTCATACGGCGTTTTTCCTTAGCACGGCAGAATAGGAGCCATTACATAATGTAACGTAACGTAACCTAAATAGACATCTCCCTTGGCCTCGAGCGTTCAGCCGCCTCAAGCAGTGGCGAGGCACGAATGATCGATTATCGATATCTTACTATTTGAAGCTTTGATAAATAATCGATTAGTAACGCGTTCGTTGAGAGCACCCAGATTCTCGATCCTTTTCCCATAGATTTAAATGAGAGGTACATGGATATATCGCAAAGCACGCCGCGCCACTGGTTTCCGGCCTCCGCGCTGTGCCGTGTCGTCCGATCTCCCGAACACGAGCGACTCCGCAGACTTGAAAATAATGAGGGCTCTCGGGGCACTGCAAATCCTTCACACCCGATTATCGATTCTATTGTGCGATGTGGCTGTACCTTTCATATATGTGGAGGAAGGTCAAGATTGGCCGTGAGACCGCGCTCGCTTTCATTGAGCTGATCAGAGAGCGAGGGAGGAGAGAGGGGCGGGGGCGCATCATTGCATGAGCATGAGAGCCCTCAAAATATGGTCCTCATTCAAATTCTGAGCCGAAGCCTGATCTGCCATGCTAAGGAAAAACGCCGTATAAACCCTCAGGCGTTGCCAAATTACCTTTCATAAAACGCGATTTTCCTGGTAAATTTATGAATATTTTCCTCCCAACTTTTCAGATAATTTAGTTCACAATTTTACCTGAAGATTCTGAAAATTTAAAGGAAAAATATTCATAACTTTCCTAAAAAATAAACATTTTATCGGAGGAAATTTGGCAACTCTCGAATTTTCATACTGCGTTCTTCCTGAGCACGACAGTGTGATTCCTCAGCTCGGTTCCCCGGTTGCGTTGCCCCTGGCGCTTCTCATCCTTTGCACCGCGCCGCCGACGCACAATGGATCGCGCCAATACTAGAATTCGGACATAATCTGGAAAATTTGAAAGCTTATATATTTTCGAAAGTATGGAACAAGAAAGTTCGAAAGTGGATCCATTGGTTTTTTCGTGAAATTGCCTTTCAGAAACACTCCTTGAAATGGAATTTGAGACGAAACAAACACAAAACTTTGAAATTTTAGCCGAAAATTCCATGTCCGACCTCCGCTATCAGCTCGTTCCACTGTGCGCCGTACCACTCGCCGCCGCGTCTGTAACTGCCGTGCTAAGCAAGAACATCTTATGAGATGCCAGACTTACCAAATGGACCGCGTTTAGCAAAAAGTAACCAAGCCACATCAGCCATTGCCAAATTTAACTGGGAAATTCAATTTTTTACGCGAAAACGGTTGTGCGGATTTTTGTGCAAATTTCAGTAATTTTTCTGCATGGTACGAGACACAGTCCTTTAA